AGCCTGAGGAAACAGATTTCAAGGGGCCAAACCTCTTCTGTTCCCTGGGATTTGGGCCTGACCTGCCCAGACCCACCCAGGGATGTAACCCTGCAAGGTCACACCCTGGGGAGTTTTGCTCCTGCTTTCCGGCTGCCAGATTTTGGATACCAGAGAGATTGGGTTGTGGGACGATACTGTTTATATGTACAAAATTACAAACAAACAACAAAAAAACACCCAAACACCTCAACAAGCACCAGGATAACATCTCTATGTATCTCAACTCACTCTGCCTGCCTACATGATCCCTTCATCAATGGGGGTCACAGCGATCCAGGAGCAGTATCAGATTTTCCCAGTCACTTAATTCACTTTTATAAGGGAAGCTGAGCCTCAGCACACGGTCCTTAAAAAGACAGCTGTGGGTCATGGCCCATGATTATCAAAAATGCAGAGGAAAAAAAAAAACAAAACAAGGAAATGTCTGCCAGCCCCAGCATGGGGAGAAAGGCAACAGGACAATCTGGCTCTGTGGTCCGATACCAAGTGCAAGACCCCACTAGCAATGCTGGTGTAGATGGGACAAACATGACAGGAAAGCAGCAGCAACTGGAGCTGGATAAATATATATTTTAAAGGATGAAAGTCAGAAAACTAATTCCCACCAGGCTCGATGGGATTAAAAAAAATAATTCTGAACTGTTTTGCCGAATTTGGGCCAGATGGTGGTGCTAAGGGAAAGCCTTTCCCAGTCCCCCCAGCTGCCTTTACTGGCAGAATCATTAAATACTAAAATAAAATTCCTCAAGCCTACTTTTGAAGGACATGGCGAGGGCCACAAGGTAGGTTTTCACAGAGCTAAGCAGACTTACAAAGCCTAAAATGAGAAGGAACACCAGGTTCTGCCTTAAAAATTCTCATAGTTTTCCTGATTGAAATGTTTTTGGTGTTTTTCTTCCTCTCAAATGCCTCCAAAAAATGATGTGCCAGACCCAACCGGAAGCCTGCACAGGCTCGAGCTACCGGCACGGTGTGACACAGCAAAGACCACATCCATGCAGGGAGAGAAAACCCCCGAGTCCTGCCGGAGAAGAAGCTCCTGCCTTGCTTGCAGCAACCCGACAGCATTTTCTTTTTTTAAAGCTATAATTGTTAACCACCCCTCTCCTTACAGGATACGAGGGATTTGCACTTTCTAGGTAGTCAAAGGACACACAAGAAGCCACCTCAACGCCTCAGCCCAGGCATGCTGCGACAGTCTGGGAGATTTTAGGGCTGATCTGGGAAATGCAGGAAGCTCTTTGGTCCCCAGATCACCTACAATCTCCTCCAAACCTCGAGGACGTGGCTTCCTTCCCTCCCAGTCCTGGCTTTTACTGTACAAAAGGAGATGTTCTTCAGGTTTAAAAAGAAAAAAGTTGGGAAAAGCTGTGTTGTTGTGTTTTTTTTTTAAAAAAAGAGCAAACCCAGCAGATGTACAATATACAGAAGGAGGAATTTACAGGCAGCTCTGGAGGTGTCTTCTGGGGTCGACAGGAGGTACCTCCAAGGTCCCTGGTTGCAGCAGTGAGGGACTCCGGCGCTCCCCAGGCGGGAGCAGGGGAGGGGACGCGGCACCGCGGTGCTGCGCTCAGTCCAGGAAGCGCTGGCAGGCTTTTTTCCACCGGCAGGCCGTGCACCATTGGTCCCGGTGCTCGATGCCATAAACCTTACGGCACTTTTTGGCTTCACCGCGGACTTTCCTGCCAGAGGGTGAAGAGAAGAAATAACGTTTACCCGCTCGTTGCAGAATTTTGGTCGTGTACTTAAGGGTGAGGCTCCGTAATGACGGGTCAGCATCATTCTGATGCTGATGGGCTCCACCTCCCTCACCCCTTCGGGCAGCAGGACCCTCACCTGGTGCCGATGGACACCCTGGGGGGTGAGGCGACGATCAGGTGGGACTTGAGCATGGGTGTTGGTGGCTGGGGTTCACTGAAGCTGAGCGACCGGCTCCGCACCTGCAGGGAATCGGGTGTCAAAGGACACACAAGACAACATGGTTCCTCTCCCCTGTGGCACCCCAGGTGCTGTGATGGGGCAGCAGGAGACACAGCTGCCCCCAGTCCACAAAACCAGGCTTTTAAAGTGGGGAGTGAGAAAACAGAGACAATGTCCCTATAGCTCCCAGCCCAACCCTATGCTCCAAAAGGATGAAGGGGAAACGCAAACAGGACTCACCGGTGAAAGGGATGGGAGAGTCGAGGTGGCAGTGGCCCAGCTGATGCTGGTGAAGATGTGGGGGGACACTGGAATTTGAATCGAGGGCAATGCCTGCAGGGAAAAAAAGAAGAAGTGTCAGCATTAGGCTTGGGGGATCCCTGTTCCCATGGGCATTCAGCTCCCTGAGACCAGCCTGGAGTACCCGCAAACTGAGCACTGGGGGTCCCTGTCCACCTCTTCTCCAGTGCCAGATCCTGATAACAGGGGCATGGCACACATGCTGTGTCATCCTTCGCAGGGACACAGCAGCTGCTTCTGTCCTACAATTGCTTTTGATTGCAATATCAAACCACATTTAGAATCATGGAATCCCAGACTTGTTTGGGTTGGAAGGGACCTCAAAGAACATCTAGTCCCAACCCCTGCATGGGCAGGGACACCTCCCATTGGACTTGGCTGCTCCAAGCACCATCCAACCTGGCCTTCCGCACTGCCAGGGATGGGGCAGCCACAGCTGCTCTGGGCAACCTGGGACAGTGCTTCACCACCCTCACAGCAAAGAATTTCTTCCTTAGATCTCATCTCAATATCCCCTCTTGCAGTTTGAAATTGTTCCACCTTATCCCATCACTCCATATCCTTGTCAAAAGCCCTTCCCCAGCTTTCCTGGAGCCCCTTGAGGTCCTGGAGCCTTCTCTGCTCCAGGCTGAACAACCCCATCTCTCTCAGTCCAGTCTTCAGAGCAGAGCTGCTCCAGCCCTTGCATCACTGAGGATGGTGTGTGTATGAGTATATTTTTGCACCTCTTTATACAGGCTTTTTGCTTTTAGATTATATTGCATCCATTCCCTGGGCTGGGAATGGATGTAAAGGCAGCTTATGGATATACCCTGTCCTTGCGACTCCAGACCAGTGCTTGGTTCTCAAGCAGCTCTTGGGACAAGGGTCACTGGCCCAGTGTGCCCATGGGGCCACAGCTGCGGGTGCTGTGCCTCAAAAGCTGGTGCCCTGGCGAGCCGTGCAGCGGAGCCAGGCAGGATCCTGCAGCGCCGCATTCCAGCCCCGTGTTATCTGCCGGCAGCAGGGCGTGTTGCATACCAACCGGGTAATTGCAGGGGAGCAGAGGCCAGCAGCTCCCCCCAGCCCGGAACGGCAGCGGCAGAAGCACGCAGGCCCTTCATCAGGCGTTAGCAAAGCCCGTTGCTCAAGGGCTGAAGGGCAGGGGACAGCACTACACCAAATGTGCTTGGCGCTGTGGAGGTGGCAATGAAACGTCCCTGCCGCAGCCCGGACTGGCAGAGCCAAGCGGATCATAACCTGCCTCTCCGCAAGGTTTCGGGAGGTGATGCAGCCCCTGGAGGTGCCTCCAGCTCACCTGGTAGGCATGATCAGCCTGGATGTGCCAGAAGGAGCCGGGGGCAGACTGGCTCAGGGCACTGCTGGCCAGGGTGGGCTCTAGTGCTGGTTGCTCCACCAGGAGCGCCTCCGGCTTCGCCAGGGATTGCTGGATGATGATGGGGGCGGATGCAGATGTGGGGCTGGTGGCAGCAGCCTCTGGCACCGGCTCTTCCTTCACCTGCACTTCAGTGTAGTAGAAATCCTCCTCCCGCTTCCGCTGGTCCGAGTCTGCACCATCCCTGCCAGGGTGGAAAGGGGTATGGTGATGAAAAGGTGGTGTCATTTCCATCGAAGTGAGAGCCCTCCACTGCCCTGGGAGAGTCACCTTGCCCTTCGAGGCAGAGTAGCTCCATTCCCAGGATCCAAAGCATCACACTGGCTGCAACTGACAACAGCCACTGCCTCCACAGCAGCACTTCACGCTTCCAAGAAAGATCAATACCTCTTCCAGGGCCTTTAAAAACACTGGCACATTGACCAGGCACCACTGAAAATCCAGTGCTCATTTCTAATAGAGCTCATTTAGAACAGCTGCAACTGAAACCCTGTGGTTCACCCAGCAGTAAACAGCCTCTGAAGCCTGTTTGCTTTAAATTATTTTCCCAGTGCATTTATCTGGCACTGCCTGGCAGTCCAGTGCTGCCCACTGCACCACAGCCCTTCTGGCCTCCCCCTTCCCAGAGCATTCACGTGTGCAAGGGAGGAGAAAAATCATGTGTCAGAAAGCATGGAAAAAAGCATGAGAAAACTGAGGTTGGGGTGAAAAGGGCAATGGGGCCACAGAGGGAGAGAACAGCAAAGCTGATCCCCTCACCCACAACCTTACCACTTTGTATTTTGGGGAGAATTCACAGGAGATCAGGACAGAGCAAAACTAACTGCTGAAGGGATGGGTGCCAGTGCCAACCCCAGTGGTGGAGCTGAAGCCAAAAAACACTGCTGCAGCAGGCACAGCTCTCAGGCTGCCAGCACTGTGAAACACATCTGGCTGGTGCCTTTCAGCCTCTGCCTGGGGGCTCACATGTAACCTGAACTCCTGCCGGTGCAAAATGTACATGTGAGCTGGGCTCTTGTGCCTCCCGGAAAGCTCTGGGCTCCCTGATTGTGGGGACACATGCAACAGTGGCTTCGGTGATACGGACTGCTTGACTGAGAACTGCCAAGTTCATTGCACAGGGGCCAGTAACTCCAATACTGGGGATATACACAGAATCCCAGACTGGTTTGGGTTGGAGGGTACCCTGAAGACCATCTAGCCCCAACCCCTTGCCACAAGCAGGGACATCTCCCACTAGACCAGCTTGCTCCAAGCCACATTCAACCTGATCCTGAACACTACCAGGGAGGAAGCAGCCACAGCTTCTCTGGGCAGCCTGGGCCAGTGTCTCACCCTATCAACCAAATCTCTAATCTACATGGTTTAAAACCATGACCCCTTGTCCTAGTGCTACATGCCCTTATAAAAAAGTCCCTCCCCAGCTTTCTTGTAGCTCCCCTTCAGGTACTGAAGGAATTGCTGTGGGGATTACAAACTGGGCAGCTCTGGTGGTCGGGCAGGGACTAAGGAGATTAAATCTTCGTCTTACCCAAGGTGCTGGGTCTTGACGTGCCGCTTGATGCCAACGATGGAGCGCAGAACCTTGCCGCAGCTCGGCCACAGGCACTTGTACATCACCTTCACAGAGTTCTGGCAGAAAGACAGCCTGTGTCAACCCCTGCCTGGTGGCACTGTCCCTTTCATGGGACATTAGCTCAGCTCGAGCCACCCCCGACAGTGCTGGGACCCCCTGCCCGCAGCAGCAATACCTTTCTCTTGCGTGGAGCGGGTTCGTCAAGGAGAAAGGGGTCAGAGTCGGTCTCGAAGCCATCGTCTGCTTGGGGGGAGCTCAGGGCCTCGATGGAGTACTTGGGGCTACCGGCAGGGTGGGGGGGCGAAGGGGTGGAGATGTCACTGCCCCCACTCCAGTGCCCACTGGTGGTGCTGCTGCCACTGTCCGAGATGTCACCGCTCTCCTTCCAAGGATCGCAGGCTGCCCGTGAGGCTGCAGGGAGGGGACAGGACCTGCCACCATCAGCTCAGGGACAACCAAACCTGCTTCCAGGGCAGAGACCAGCCCTGAGGCTGGATAACCCACAGCAACAGTTCCCCTCTATTTATTTATTTTTTAAAAAAACAACAAACCTCAGCAAGGTGAAGCCTTTGCACCTTTGCTCAGCACCACCTGTCAATTATTGGTCGTTTATCCCTTTTTTCCCCGCCCCATCCTCCTTGGCATCAGCACAATCCCGTGGGCACAGCCGGCACACGGCGAGCAGCCAGCACCAGGGGCACACACATTTCCCACGGCTCCAGGCAGCTATTTTTATCCCTCTGTCTGCATTTGACTCCTCGGGAATGAAACTGCCTCTAAAAAAAGGAGCAACTGGGCAGTGCTCCCTGGCCCGGGACTCCTGCACGGGGCTCCCCAGTCCCCAGGACGGCTGTGGAGAGCAGGGTCACTTCTTCCCCTGTGCTGCTCAGGGTGTCCTGACTTGCTCAGCACTGACACCCATGGGCTTCACCATGACCCTAGTGCTGCCCCCCAGCCAACTCCAGCCCAGCACAGTCCCTGTACTGGCACCCATTTGTCACCCAGCAAAGCACCTCTGCAGTGAGCAAAGCCTTGGCACTGAGATTTAAAGGGTGCAGCATATTTCTCTTCTTTTGTTTCAGATGTTGTTATTTTAACAAATACATGCAAATATTTTAAATGCACACTCACAGGGGATGCCGCTCTCGCCAGCGGGAGGGCTCTGCACCACAGGGCTGCAGGAGAGGCTCGTCAGCACCATGGCTGCCACCATCTCATCCATCTCCACTGTGGCATCAGCTTTCCTGCACCACGAGGGGAGAGAGGTGAAATGAGCAGAAGAAAAAGGAAACAAACATCCTGGGTACAATCTGAGGAGTGACCCAGCACCCAAAGGGCAGCACAACCTGCAGCAGCAGCACAGGATACCCCCCACACCTCCCTCCATAAACTCCAAGTCTTTTTTAAGTCATTGGAAAGGATGTTTTCACTCCATTTGGAGGAAAATAAAATTTTAAATCCCCTCAATCCTAAATTAAACCACCCTTTTGATAATCCCGCTCTGAGAAGGCAAATATATCCCCAGTGTCACCACTCTCTCCATTGGTGTAAAACCAAGTGTGAGTGCTGCCAGAGCTGTTAAAAGCCCCTCTCCTGCCTGACTACGGTACCACCAGCCAAAAGCACAAACCTCTTGGGTACATCAATATTGCTGGAGACAGATCTCTGCAGTGCCTCGGCCGGACCAGGACCACCAGCCGTGGGCAGGGCCGGGGGCTGGAGCGCAGCTGGCTGCACATCCTGCACCCTCCAGCAGGTCTGGAAGCCCTGCTCTGGCAGCAGCACCTTCACCTTGTCACTCAGTGGGTTGTGCTGATCCACGAGGCTGGTGCACTCCTGCCCGTTGTAAGTGACGAGGACCTGAAAATGGCACGAGGGGCAGTTTGTCAGCATCACCCACCACCTCACTGCTCCTGGGAGATGTCCTGCCATAGCAGAAGCAAGACTTTGCACACCACAGGATCCCACCTTCTCCTCCTCCCACAGCAGAGGGAGCCACAGAGGGATTTAGGATGAAGGCAGAACCTGTCTGGAAGGGACTGGACTTCAGACTGCTGTCACAGCAAGCCAAAGAAATGGCCAAGGTTCACCTCAACCCCACCACCAAGAGATCTGCTCTTCCCAGGCACAAGCTCCCCAACTCCAGCAGCCCCAAGCTGAGGGATTTCCTGAGGTGGTATCAGTCACGTCTCTGAGTGTTGTGACTTTGGGTGGACTTTTCTCCAAGGAATTTATCTGCTATGCTTTATTCTCACGTCATCCTGCTGCAAGGACTCCCATAGCTATTACACATCCTGGCCAAGTACACAGATAAAAGGATTAAAAACCAGAGGGGGATGGGAGAGCAGAGGTTCCCTGGGCTCTGAATTCACACCTTGGCTCCTCCAGTCCCAGCTCCTTCAGGCAGGGAAGGAGATGTGCAAACCTCACCTCCTCCTCCACAGTGTCCCAGACTTCTTCTGATGGGCAGTTTTCCACCATCACCACCCATCGGCCTATTTCTGTTGATGGAAAGGTATCTGTGTCAAAAGACACTACATGTGTCTCTGGCTATTTATAGGAACAGGAACATCTCTTTATGGAAGTCCCAGGGGGGTTACAGCAAGAAGCGGATACGGGATGGACACACGCACCCATATCCTAACTGGGGAGGAGCTTGCGAGTCCATCTCAGGTGGGACCTTTGGCAGAAACAGTGGGTTGGAAAAAGCCACCCATGATGGGACCAGGGTTAAGGAGATCAGTACAAGTGCACAGAAGACCCTGACCTCGCTCTGAAAACAAGGAGCAAGGATTCCCTGTGAACCACACCGCTATTTTTATGCCACTCCCAGCAGCAAAGCAAGAAAGCCAAATCCTCCACAGCAGAGCATGTAGGAGAAAACAGCTCTCACTGTCCTGTGGTTAATTAACACGGGGCAGGAGAAGCCAGAAAACCGAAGAGGGGCTTAATTTACACTCTGTTTCACAAGCTTTGCCCAGAAAAGGTTTTACGGTTCTGCAAGTAGCAGCCTAGAAACAAGCTCTGCACCAGCAGCTCCCGGGCTCCCCTCAGGCAGGGCTGCTTGGCCAGGCACTAATGGGAATCTTCCCGCTGGGATCGAAAATGAGCACTGCTCCCTGCCCCAGGCAGCATCCCAACCAAGGCATGGCCCTCCAAAGCATCAAAAGCCTACAGCACAAGGAACACCAGGGTCTAGCAGGACTAGATGTCCACTCTAGATGAGCCATCACACCTCACTCTTCCCCAAGACCTTATTCATCACATATGTCCACACAATCCACCCTCAACCATGCAGCAAAAAGCTGTTGCAGACTGAGCTCTGAGGCATGACCCATGACGCTCACAGCCAGCGTGGCTGAGCTGGGGGATCCTTGACATTTGCCTTCAGATGTTGATGTGGTTTATGGGGAGATAAGACAAGTTCATGGCAGAGAAGTCCACAGGGAATCAGTAAATGTATAGAACCCATCTCCCTTGGCATTAAACAGCTGGAGAATACCAGAGGGAAGCATCAGCTCTTCTAACCCTCTTCTCTAGACAATTTTTGCTAGGTCTGGAGATATCTCCTGGAAGAGCTGGATCTCTGCTTGAACTGGTATGGTCCAAACCCATCAGGCACAGCCAGGGCCAAGTGCATACTAACACCAACACCCATTAATGGCTCTGGGTAATTACACATCCCCACTGCACCTTGCATTAAGAGAGCCTCAGGAGTTTTTGTTCCCCACTGGAGCACATCCTACCAGCCAAGGACACTGAGAGCCTCCTGACATACCTGCTGCCCGGCACAGAGCTGCTGGTGGTTGGGGCTGGGGATCCTGGGTGCCTGGCTGCCCTCCTCCACCGATGGCACGCAGGGTCCATCCTCTCGTGGCATCGCGTGGGCAGACACCCGGCTGAGGTCAGCCTGCAGGCTGGGGATCTGGGAGGCCACCAGCACCCCCTCGGCCAAGGCGCCAGGGGCAGAAACGCGGGTGCCAAGCAGGGAGCGCTTCCCCAGGCGCCTGGACAGCACACTCGCCATCTCGGACACGCTGCAGAAGAGAAAGACACGAGGATGTTACCTTCAGTGCTGGATTGGGATGTTCAACCTGTGCCTTCCCCTCATGGCCACCCTGGGAGCCAAGAAAGCAGCTCTCTGCTGCCCCAGCAGCCTCATGCACTTGCTGGGTGTCTCAGCTCCCAGATACCGAGACACCTTGGGAATATGGGGACAGCAGCATGCCTCAGATCCTCCCACCCTGCAGATCTTTACTGCCATTTCTCAGCCCCTCTAGAGAAAAATCAGGAGATCAGTCAGCCCAAAGGAAACCCAGAGGATTTTCCCAGCTGGGAAAGCCCTTGAAGCTCACGCCTCCCTCTCGAGCTGTCACCAGCACACACTCTGAAGGCCACCGCAGCTATTCCTGCCTGTCATGCTGAAACCTGCCATTGGTTCTCTTCAACCTTGACCTCTAGGCTTGGGCCCATGCCCAATGCAGTCCTGTAACTTCCCTGCCCTGGCAGGGGAGGAAAGCTCTCAGGCAGCAACAGCCAGCACCCCTTGTCAGCCTACACCCCAATGCTCCCCTTTTTCAGAAACTCTTGTGCTTCTGGGAGAGGTTTCTCCATGCTTGCAGCTCATCCCCAGCATTCCCAGTCTGGCCTGGGAGTCCTGGCAACAGATCAGGAGCATCCTCCTGCGCTGCTTTGTTAGAAAAGGAAGAATGTGGAGCATTTTTATAATAAACTGTTACTCTGTAACTATCTTTAACCTATTTTTGCCCCCAAAATAGCTTCCTTTTCCTCTGACATAGGCTTTTCTTGTGTTGGTGTAGCTCTGCTAGCAAACCTATCCATGCCTGACTCACTTCTCTGGGGTTGTAGATTTCAGTGCTGTTTTAAAAGAAACAAGCATTTTCATGTTTCCTCAAAAGCCAAGTGACACCCACGTATGGGGACAGACAATATACCCAGCTCTAATAAATCTGACAAAATCCCACAGCACTTGCTGTCCTCCTCCATCCCATCCTCTTCCCAAAGCCTCCTCTGCTGCAACATCCCCTCCGAGGGGTGCAATAAGTGAGGACGCACATCACAGTGACACCAAAGGGTGACTATGCCTGGGGTTCAGGATGAGGGAGAAGAAGGACGAGGCTTAGTGCACTGCCATGTCTCAGCATACAAAACTGTCACATTTACCACCCTGCCTGGCCTTGTCAGTGAGCGTTACCCAGCTGGCAGGGGCTTCGGGTGTTTATTGGGTGTCTGGGTTGCAGCATAACACGAGCTATGAACAGCCCAAGGAGCTTGTGCAAGATGGGATTAACCCCAAGCCTCTGGGTGCCTGTGCTCGGACCCTCCCCTCCTCACTTAGGGTCCCTGCAAGAGATGCTCAGTTCCCCAACATGAGACAGCAGCATTTCAACAACAGATCAGATACTTATATTTTAACCTCCGATTTATGCGACGCTGTCTTGCACACTATCTCAGATGAGAAAAGCTTCCTGAGGAAGGAAAGGGGAGCTTGCTGCTCCTCTCGACCTTTGGCTGTCCTGGGAAGGGCTACTCCAAACCACATCCCACTTCAAAGGACACCCAAAATTTACAAGAGGTTTTATGAATAACCGTACACATTCAGCTTACTTCGTCCTCCCCCCAAAATCCTGTGCCCACCCCCCCGCTCCAGAGTAGAAAATTAACAGCTATTTAGGAGTCATAAAGAACAGAGCAGAAATAATAGGATAGGGTGTGAAATAAATAGAGGCGTGCCAGGGAGAGGACCTCGTGCCAGTTTGTTGCCGTTGCTGCCACAGCAGGATCAAAGAGGCCGCGGTGGCTGGTTGAGCAGAACCGCTCCCCCGGCTTCCCACTCATCTTGCCCTGCCCGAGGAACACACCAGGGACTCTGCAGCACACAGGCATCACTCGGGGATGCTCCGGACCCTGCTCTGTCTGATAATGTCATTTTTCCCCACACTGCAACATGTTTTCTGATGAGTACAAGTAACCTGGCCAAGCAGCTCTGGTCCCAGATTTCCTTATACACATATGGGACTTTATTTCACATCTGAAAGGAGACCAAAAAGGCTGGAAGGAGGGGACAACACAGCAGTTTGCCTCAAATCCCAAAGCAAAGCTGCGGCAAAGACACTCCACCTCACCGGCAGGAATTAACCACCAGACGACGTTTCCTTCTGTATCACCTTAAAACCTTGCTATCGGATATTCAGGGCACCAGGATTTGGGAACTGCCTTTCCAAGGGCTCGGGGAGTCGATAACAGTGCCACTGGTGTCGCCAGGGAATAGAAAACGGCGCCAAATCTCCGCCGCCGGCCTGACGGTCGGCGCGCGCCGGTTTCCAGGCAGCATCTGGCCAGCAGCCAGGTGCAGGGAAGGCAGTGCCAAAGGTGGGAGCTGCTTCTCATTTCCTTCGGGGTTTCGTTTCTCCTTCCCTTTCCTTCCCCCTCCCGTCCATGGGGGGAGCGGCAAGGAGGAGAGAGGCACGCTCCGCAACCAGAGAAAGGAAAACCCTCCCAACACGCCAAAAGGCGTTTCTCGGAGCCGCATCTGCTTCCAGCAGGCCTTTGAGCGCCAGATCCCATGTCGGCGCTCAACCCATAGCCGAGGCTGACGCACCAACGCCGAAAAATCCACCCCGCTGTGCCCCAAGACACAAAGCAAGAAGAGGAGCAAGAGCAGGGAGGGCGTCAGCGGCGCAGGCGGAGCCGGGAGGCCACGCAGCCGCCGGGAGCCCTCCCAGCTGTTAGCAATCACGCACCGCAGGGGTCAGAGCCGGCACAGATCCCAAATTACTTCTTGCTCCAATGCCGGGCGTGTATTCTGGACGGCGTTTTTTCCAGCTCTCGCTGGGGAAAAAAAAACGTCAGCTCTCTTGTGCCTACCGGCGTTGCCCCTGCTGCCGGCAGAGCAAAGGCCGGGTGGAGGCTTTGGGAAAGCAGGCACCTCGCTCTGCAAATGAGGAATGCAAGTGGGGAAGGTCAGGGGGCCGTGGCAAAGCAGGGAGGCTGCCCCAGCGCCCACCCCGGCTGCTGTTTGTCCAGGGTTTGCTGGGAGAAAGGCAGCTCCTGCACCCACCGTGCTGTGCCAACCAGGAGCACCAGCACCAATCTGCTCCCGAGAGAAAGTGCAATTACAGCACACTCCATTTTTTTTTTAGGAATAAATGCTGGTGGGTTCCTGCAAATCGAGCCTAACTCGTGCCACAGATCACCATGCCACAGATCAGCTGCACAGTCCGCAAAGTTCCTGCTATAAGAGACCCTAAATGATGCAAGAACTGATAATAAACCCATTTTTCATCTTCTCTCCCAGCCTGCAGTTTTCAAGCAGCCCCTTCTCATGCCAAAACACCTCCAATCCCTTTACAAACCGCATTCCGGCCCCATGCCTATCTGCACATGTGACCAGGAAACAAGATCTCTGCACGGAATAGTTTGCAAAGTTTGGGCCTTCGTTAAAGAAGTAAGAAGGATCTACTGACCCTAGGATGGAGCCAAACCCACCCACGACCTAACCCTCACGGACAATAATAGAGCACAACCGATTTCCCAAAGAGTTTCCTCCTAAACCCACCTCAGTGCTTGCCACTTGGCTTCTGCCCATGGACGTGTCACCGCGGGGCTGCACTACGAAGGGCTTCCAACCCTCACCCCACCATTTCACCTGCCCCAGCATTTGCCTCTGGGCGATTCCAGAGGAAAATGCTTTTTTTTTGGGGGGGGGGACCCCCGCCTGCCTAAAGACGCATTTTCCAGCACAGGCAGCAATGCCGGCGCAAGCAGAGCGACTTCCCCAGGCACGGCGGGACGGTGC